TCATACCTGTAAATGAGAAGGCGTGTCAAGGTGCATGGGTTGGCGCAGCCATCACAGCCTTTTCCACCAGTCGTTCCCCGTACGAACTGTATCAATTCGTGGGAATTGGTGGAAAAGGCTGTCGCGTCTGCGCGCCATCTGCGCACCACTCTAAATGTGTAGCGCCTCAATTGTACTGGACTAGCTCAAGGAAAACTCTTTCTCAAACTGTTTCTGCCTACAACTGAAAATGGAACTTCAGTAAAATGTTCGTTATATTTGCTGCAACCATGGCGGTCTTTATTTTTGGCATAGCGTTGGCTATTGTAAGCTTATTTGTATACATACGTGTTAGTTTTGCTCTTAAAACCTTGAGTCATTTCTTTGTCTCTTTCTTTTCCTTTCTGAACTCCTTGGAATTTTGCACGTTTCCCTCATAATCACACTTGCCTTTCAGTGGCTTCATGTCGCATTCTCAGCTATAGTATGTGTCTTATTTATGGTCCATTTAGCCCTTGATATACAGGTGCGCCCTTTTAAGGTCTTACTTCCTAATATTTGATACTATCCAACAACTAGTGAGGGTTTCACAAAGTAAACTAATTTTCTTACCGTTAGTGAAAAGCTTGAGATTTTGAGTTTTCTAATACAAAAATACTTCCCAAACCTTACCATGAAGAGTAAAAAATCACTGTTGAAAATTGAAATCCTTGCCGTGGTGGGCTGGGCCGGTAGCTGCAGTAATGCGCTACATTCTCCCGTCAAAAGTTTTACGGGAGCGAGACAGGAAAGTGATTATGCCCGAGTGCCCTTTCCATACTTCGCCCACGCTGGCGCACTGCCAGCCACGCGCCTAACCATAGCCAAGCGCGCTACTTATCTGCGCTCTCTCACTTCTGTTTGTTCTCCACTGCTGAAAACATGTTTCGCTGCGGGAATTTGGTATCGACGGAAATGCTGTACCTGTAAGATAGCGCGGGCGGAGTATTGGGATGCATGCAGGAATCGCTAGACGCCAGTCCTATTCCTGTGAAATTCTGACCAGAGAAAATGGCACGCTGCTGCAGCTGCGGACCCATTCGCCTCGCACATGAGGAAGACCGTCCTCGAAGTGTGTAATTGTTGCTAAATTAGACATCTCATACAGCAAGCACACAGGCAAAAGTACGATTTCATTTCTTTGGGCCCCCTTTTCCACTCGCAACTTGCAATGTTGTTGAGTTAACTGCAAAGGTTTCCAGATGATATTGGGAGGACGAAAATACGAAATATCACCGGAAGATTATGTTTTTGCTGCTCTCATGCTATTCATAGACATCTATGAGATCTTCATCAACTTGCTGAATCTTTTCAATGCGGCCAATTAAAAACTACTGTATTACTGAAGAGTCCAAAAGAACTGACAATGAACCCAATCTTAAAAGTACACATATTGAATAAGAATAAATTATCGATGTATTTTGTATTGTCTACTCGATTATCCTATTAAAACCCCTATACAGTGAAAAGTTTGCTTCAAGCTCATTCGCGAGGTGATCCCTCCCCATCTGCATGGTGGAAAGGTCTACAGCACGAAAGACCAAGATCCCGCAGCGAGCATAATGAAAAGCTGTCTAAGTACGCAGCCAGATGAAGAGAACAACGACGCCCCAACTAAATGTGAGAGGGCACAGACCAGTGGGAGATCTGGCTAGGCTAGGCGTACGGTCGGCTGCGCGACGAGTGCAGGCGGAATTACAAAAGAATAAGGCAGCGTTCAGACCTCGCGACGGTAGCGCTTCGGTCGCGCGTTGGGCGCGATCGATGCGCATGCTTTCGACTGCATCGATCGCGTCGAAGCGACCGAAGCGCTACCGTCGCGAAGTCTGAACGCTGCCTAAAGCTGGCATCGCGCTCCAGCTTCCTGAGTGGCTTTCAGAAGCTCCGCCCACTTCACGAAGCTCCATCCGCTTTTGAAAAATGATCCAGATCGGAAGGCCAGAGTCGAATTGGCAGGTTATGAGCCTCCTTCGTCATTCGAAACAAACGTTCCCTAATATTTTGTTCCGGACGACAGCGAGACCACAAACTGCCAGTTTGGCCTCTGGCCTGTCAATCTGGATTATTCATCATGAGTGGGCGGAGCTTCTCGTAGTGAGTGGGGCTGGCTCTTATTGCCTGAAAAGGCGAAGATTTCGAAGAAGAGATTGAATTTCGCAAAAAGACGCAGAAGTGGGCCTGCCAAAAAGGCGGGGGGAGGGGGCTAGTGTGCCGGTGTACAAATGCATATCTATGAGACATTCGTCTAGTGAAGAATGGACGTGAAAAGAGTGACGTCAAAAAAATTGCTGAAATGAAAACGTTCAGTAACTCGACTAAAGGTGGGAGGGGTCGTGTGTGTGTCGCTATATCAATCCTTTGCAGTTATGTATACTCCTCATCATTACGGACTGTCGGGGCGGGTCAGTGCGGCTGCGTTTTCCGCGGTTCCAAAGTCTTTCTGCACCAGTTGTTGAAGCGATCAAATGACATAACAGCATTATATCCTTCGTATTACTCGTTTTCTACCACTTTTTGTCGCATACGCGTTTCAACGAAAAGGCTGAGAACGGCTTCAAACAGTGTGCGCACTCCTACTGGCTGATACGCCCCGACAGTCCGTAATGATGAGGAGTGTATGTATGTGTAAAACAGCAAAAGTGCAAAAAGTCATAGGAGCAACCCATCAAACAATTTGTGAAACCATGACAGCGCTGAAAATTGGGCTAGATTGTGGGACGGGGCTTACACAGTCCCTAATGTGGTCTAGTTAATCGACTAACCTATGTAAGGGGTTGTGTCCGATTTAATGTTGAAAGTGTTCGTTTTAGTCTACAAAACCAGAAATGACAGGATCGTCACTGAGACCACGAGATATCGCACCGAGGGAAAAAATTCGGCGGCAGTACTGACACCCCTTCGTCACTTCACTCATCCCGAAGCTTTAGTTTACCCCTTCCCTTCCAACCGTGGATCGTAATAACCAGAACGTCCCCTTTTGCGGAAACTCCTAGATGTCTTAACTAGGCACTTTCTCAGGTGCTAACGTTTGGGGGGGGACCACGCGGCGCGCGGCGAGCGATGACTCATCTGCTCTTCTAGTCCCTACTCGGCAAAATAGAGGTAATTTCATGTTTAGGACATGAAATAACACCGCCCTAAGGTGCTATATTCAAAAGGTAAAACAGTTAATGCTGAAAAGTGCGAAGAAACAATAGTAGGCGGGGAAACTCCTGCCTAAGAGCGCGTTCAGACTTCGCGATCGCGCGATCGCTGTGATCGCGCGATCCGATCGCGCGATCGCGCTACTGTGGGTGAAATTACACCGGGAGGGGGTCATGTTCGTTCATGTTTATTGTTCCTGTTCTTTTTTCCTTTTCCTTCTTTCTTCCTTTGTGTACATAACGCCCTCCTAATTTTAAGGAACGTTTCGAAATATCTTTGAGTTATTTATTATTTCCTATGTAGTACTAAATATACAATATGCTAATTATTATACTGAATTTTGCATCTGAGTACGTTCAAGCGGAGTATTGAACATCTTGTTCCAAAAGTAAGACACGCAGAACTTTCAACAGCGGGTGATGTTGTTTCTCTCCCTTCCCCCGATTTTGCCAGTCCTCCAGATATTCACTTTACTTTTGTCACATTGTTTGCTTTGTTTGTTCTGCCATCCTCCAGGTCTATACACAACCTTTCCTTTCGACGGTTTCTGCAAACGTCAGTATTGCGAATATGAACACGGAATAAAAGACATCAAAAAAGGTCGAACTTACTTTTATATCGTTTTTGGAACTGCCTATTGGAGGCAGGATACAGCATCGTGATGTGAGAAATGGTGATATCAGTACGACTCCCTTCCCAGAACTTTGTTGTTGTTGTTTGTTGAGTTGAACATGAACGAACATGACCCCCTCCCGGTGTAATTTCACCCACAGTAGCGCGATCGCGCGATCCGGATCGCGCGATCACAGCGATCGCGAAGTCTGAACGCGCTCTAAACTACAGGGAATGAATTCCGGCCTAGGTGAACCCATTCGTTTGCGTAAAAGTGACACGTTTAAATAAATTGGATGGTCCGCAGAATCTAAAAAGAAATCTACTCCAATAGCTCACTATCAAATCGCAGAAATTGAATCTTGAGCGGTTTCCTCACAACAGAACCACAATTTCACCTCACCAGTTCACTTCAGCTTGCTACACGAAGTCCATTTGTTTTCCGCTTCTGTATGATTTCTCAACAAGTTCCCGGTGAATCTTGTTTGTTTTATTCTGAATAGCTGCTAGATTCGCGCTTCAAGTATGCCGGGAACCATCTGTGGGCTGTTTTGAACATTATCTCGCCGAGGAAGAAGCGGAAGAGCAGATGAGTCATCGCTCGCCGCGTGGTCCCCCCCCCTAAATACGTTAGCACCCTTTCTCATATCACCAGCAGAAAAGAAAAACAGATTCGAAATCGCATCATTACATAACCCAACCGTGCACAAAACAGTGAACACCGTACATGATTAGACGTTAGATTCTGTGTCTCTGGTCTGCTGCAGAAAAAACTTTTGAATTTGCGACTCATTTGGTTGATTCTCGGCACTTCATGTTCACTTGTTTTATTTCGTAGTTTTCTTTGAATATATAAGGTGGGGTGCTTTGTTCTGTATTGATTAAGATTTTCAAACTTCAGAAATTAGCTCATTATGGGTACTGACCTTGAGTTGAAACGAAAAAGTCGGAAATTAGGAGAGAAGTTACTCAAGAAGAAATCGTCTAGCAAAGTATGGAAAGAGCGTAAGTGCTTTGCTTCTACCACTTTTCCAATGCTATGTGGATATCACACGGTTGATTATTTCAAATTCGCATATTAATTGTGGCGAGGTGTTGCTATCGAAGTGACGTAAAATGGTCTTGCAGATAAATTGCGTACGGCAGAAAAACGTGAAAAGGCATTATTGGCAGCTCATGAGGAACTGAAGCGGCTCAGTAAAAAGGCGGAATCAGATCAACATTCGAAAAAACAAGGTATGAGCCAGTTACAGTGAGACAGACTCATACAGAAGATTTCGGCATTTAGACTGACTTCAAAATCCCAAGTAAAGTCGTTTAAAAATCTTTTAGACACTTCAGTTAACCTCTAAGGTTCATGTTATAAGGAAAGTTGTCCTCAAGATCATGGTTCCTGCAGATGGTCCACGGGCAACTCGAACTCAGTCCCTTTACTCCTGTCAGTTTCCGGACTACTAGGCGACCGAAGTATCCACACCGAACCTAAGCTTCGATGAGGTGAAGGGACACAGAGCGCTAAGGAGTGATTTCTCTCCCCCAACTGCGTCAGCGCCCAGTTTTCTGCGCATTTTTGTCTGTATGGCGTTCAGTGACCACTGTGTCCTCACACTTTCCAGCTTTTCACGCATGATAGAGGCTCACCCAGAGTTCACTGGAGTTTAAAATGCCACTTCTTGACTCTTTTTATGCTTGAACAACAGCTGTCCTTTATCTATCAGCGTTGACTGTTTCACAGGAAAACCATGTAGATAAGTTGAAGTAGTCACGTAACCCCTTAAAAGACTCACTTGTCCCCGTGAAATTCGCTTTTCAGGAAGTAAATTTTCAATATCGATTGCTGTCCCTGGTTCTTTCCTCAACAATGGACAAAGCTCTGAACTACGCACCTACATGTCTGGGCAGGTAATAATGTTTAGAGATGTTCAGTGGTCCGGAATAATTTAGGTTTTCTTCAGATTGCCCGTGCCGCCACATTGTTCTGTGTAGACGATGTGATCGTCTACGATGAAACGTGCAAAATGACACAGGAGTGAGTGCTGTCCCGATGTTTCAGCTTGAAATTGGGCGTGCATATATGATAACAGAGATTCTGGTTGTGCTTAGGAATATTGACGCGTATTGGTCTGGAAAGTGGAGAGGAGACATAGCACCTTCTGATTCGAATTTCGAGGCATGTTTTCACTTGGCACGGATTTTGGAATACGTTGAATGCCCACAGTATCTGCGAAAGTATCTCTTCCCATTTCAAAAACCGTTGAAGTACGCAGGTTAGCAACATGTTTATTATAAACCCGTTCCCGGGTTTTCTTCATATTCACCTCCTTTTTATATTTCCAATTCTGATGCTTGCGTTGATGGGGGGACAAAATTTTTAAACGTACTCAGGCTTGGTGGGGCCATTTTGTTGGTCCCCATCGATGAAATCCGATGTCTCCTGTAGAGACCTCCGAATTCCTGTAAAGTAACAACATCAATCTCGCTCGGTCATACCAAGGTGAAAAGTGTAATCTAATAGGAACTAGCAAAATAAACTACCGGAAATGCAAATACCTCCCCACTCCCCTTCCACACCCCTCCCCCTACCATTGAAGTAGTTGCAACGTAGCAACATAGGATATGGAATGACTACACTGAAATATGAAAAAAAGTGCTTTAAAAGTTTTCGTATGAGTGCTACACGTTTTCTTGTTTTCATCTTATCTTTTACTAATCTTTTTGAAGGTCTTCTGAACCCTCTTGATGCACAACATCACTTGCGAAGCGATGATGTTTCTATACCATTCAGAGAAGGAGTCGTCCTTGATAAACCAACAAAGCCTGAACGAGGCTCACTGTGTGATGTTGGTTTGGAAAAAGTAAGTTTCAGTGATAGGAAAAAATTAATTTAGTAGCCTCAGATCATTATTCACTGGGTAACAGGCTCTTGAACACAATACCTTTCTGTTATTACTGATATGAATGCTAACATCTATATTATTGCTGCTGTCAATCGGTTTTATCCTGATAGATACTTACACAGGAGCTAGAACTCGAAGATAAAGTTCACTTACCAGCTGCCACTCGTGTAACCAGTAGAAATCACTAATCTGGGTGAAAGTGAGTTTCTTGTTGGGAAGATTGACGGCATTTCTTTTTCACTCACTTTACTTTACTTTGAGGTTCCAAACGGTACCGTGGCAAGCTCTTGAGCGCACGGAAAGTTCGAGAGAAAACCGGAAAATATTGGGGTTATTCTGTGAAGTTGGCGACCAGTTTGAAGGAAGTGCTTGACAGGTAGGTCATGTTGAAAGGCACATTCCACGATAGCAATGTTGATGGAGGGTTATTAGGTGGGGCAGTGTAGTGTAAAGCAGCGGTACCTACCGCGCCATAGGCAGTTGGTTTAATCTCAGGTGGAATCCCACTGAGTCCAACTAAGCCATCCACCTCCGAGATTGATTGTATCAGACAGTACTGGGTTGTGTAACAGCCTGCAGCGCAAATTCTCGTATAAATTAGATAGGGCAAACGTAACTACGATTCTGAGAGGTGGTGAAATACCCCGCCTTTCGCAAAAGGGATCGATCAGTGCTGAGTGCGTTGTCCCCTGCTATTGGAGGTTATTAGAATCTTTGGCACTATTCACTCTGTACTGCCCCAGCCATCCGGAATCGAGCCAGTTTCTGACCGACTTTTTCTCCGTGGATGGATTGGGCTCAAATGTTGCCTCCTGAGGTAATTTGACCTCCTGAAGACGAATGTCACATTTGCTTGGCTCGAAACCTCCTGGCGCCCGCGCCATATGCGCCGGTGGTTTGGGGTATTTTGGCAATGGAGCCTGTGGCGCGAGCGCCAAGAGGTTTCATGCCAGAGCGGATGTGATATTCATGTTCAGGAGGTCAAACTACCCCAGGAGACAAATTTTTAGCCAATTCTGCTCACGGAGAAAAGTCGGTCAGGAACTGGCCTGATTTCGGATGATTGGGGCAGTAAAGGGTAAATAGTGCCGAATCTTTGTTAATTTTCCAGTTGACCTGTCCCTAAGGTGAAAAGCAAAACAAAACATTTGATGGTTGAAAAAAAAACCTTGAACAGTTGATTCTAAACAGTTTGAGAGGCTGCAGCTTAGCCTCTAGGCCAGAAACCTGCGGCAGATAGACGAGAGAATTTAGAAACAAGCGAAGCAGCTAGTCTCCCAACAGCTTCTGTGGTGGATGTATTTCAGTGTAGCGGGCCTGGAGATATTCAAGTCATACAGCCCTTCCCACAAATTCTTGTGTCGAGAAAAGTAGGATAAGTGGAAAATTACAGCCCTGCGGTTGAAGAGCTGTTCACTTTATTCACGAAGCTGTTGTAGACCTCATCATCTAACTATCGTGGGACGTGGCCTCGAGTTCGAATGCAAGCTCATCTGTTGACCTCGCTTGATTATTAGTCAATTTTCTCTTCGAATAAATATCGTTTCAGGAAGAAGTTCGACGTAATTATCGGAACATCCCCGCGGGGAGAACCAGTTGCTGATATGTTTCTCAACACATTGAACGATATGTAAGTTTATTTAATCTTATGTTTCACTACGATACGGTTTTATGATTGGCTGTTGTATGCGGTTGGAATAGGAGAGGAGCGTACTTTTGACATCCTCGTTCTGAGCTCGATGTATTTAATCCTTCCAGCCATGTGCTCCTGGTTTTCGGCGGCGTTTCCGGAGTTGACGCAGCTCTTGAGGCTGAAGAAGCACTCACAGAAACACGAGCTGAGGAAGCCTTCGACAAACTAGTGAACTCATTACCAAATAAAGGAACTAACAGCGAGCGAGTTGAGGAGAATGTTTTCGTAACCCTCGCTGAAATTACTATGCGTTTACAACAGTTATGTTCACAGTAGGTTGAACTTCATTACTTGTATCATTTGCCTCATACGGTTATTCGTCTCAGTGATTGCCTCATAAGTTGTTGTTGCTGTTGTTATTATTATTACTTAAAGACAGCCCCGCGCTCAAGTAGTACATGGTCGTCCTTGTGCAAGTAGTACAGCCCCCAAGCTAGAGACTGTCCCACTCTATTCGACTCCACAGCGAGCGAGGAGCGAGCTACAGCCGCTGAAAGTTCTAGTTCTAACGCCCGCTCAGTTGGACCGCCCACTTGCTAGATGCCCTCCGACGGAGGGCCGCTCAGTTGTTCTTTGTTGGGGCGGCGGGCATTAATCGGAATTGCATGTCCTTTTTGCTGACCGCGCTCGTGCCCATGAATAATTCTGCTCTCCTTTATTACATTTTATTCATTGGGAGCACATACAGTCAACTCCAACCCATCTCGCAAGGTAAAACGCGTAAAAATCACGAGCGACCCAATTTTCGTGGTGCAAAAGCTCGACGCGCACTACACTAAAAGATGCACGCTACCGTAACCCTAAATTCGGACGCCGGCTTTTACCTTTTTAACTTGCTGACTTATTATCTTTTCAAAAATTTTTCCTCTGTGTTTTCGTTGTTTTTCATATTAGTTCCTTTAGCACTTCCAATGATGATCCACTACTGAGAGATGTTGATTGAAGAGAATTTGTGAGACAGGGTTGCCTCAGGACGCACACGGCTAGTGTGACTGCTATAAGGGAGCGGTATTGTTTGTGTTGTTTGACGAGACTCTCTTTGCTTTTTTTCTTCTTTGCGGAATTGCTTTCAGCTTACAGTTTCATAAAATGACAATCAATTATCCGCTGAACTTTTATCGCTGGTGAGCTGATCTTTTGAGTAGTTCACACACTATTCATAAAAGCCACTATTACCGCGACAGAATCCTCTTCCTAGTAATCGATTCTATCGCAAGGTTAAATTAATTTCACGGCTGAAAAATTAGGGGGAGGTGGCTGAGACCATTATTTATCCTAGTAACTCCACCCTTCAGTTAAAGGATCCATTCACTAGATGAACGGCGGGTGTTGCGTTGCTATTCGCCTGCAGACCGCCGGCGGTTTATCATACCGTCATTGTGGTTTCCCACATCCAACTTTGCTGCCTGTGTTTTTTGCCGGCTGAACAGCGAACATGTTGACTAATATCCAGTCTGGTCTGAAATTAACAGCGGAGATGGGGTCCTGTTTCAAACATTTCCTTTTTTCTCTAACTGCTGCAATAAAAACTCCAACTTTTATAACTGAATCACTTTATTTACATAATTTTCTCCCTCCCGATTGAATGTGTCGTGTGTGTGCTTAAAGCGTTTGAAGTTAAACACTCTGTATTAGTAGTTAAAATTAGACAAACCATGGCCGAGCCGTTTTCAGTGCTGTCTTGTACATTTTCGCTAATTTTCCAAAGGGACCCTATACAACACCGCATCTGAAACACTGGTTTGTGCAGGCTTCCTGATCATGTGTCAGGTTTAGCATTGTTTTTGTGGAGATTTATTACTGGCTTGTTGTTGGTTTTTGTATGCTGTTGTTAACACTGATATAGTATGTCCCTTGATAAAATGTTTGTTACTTCAGAGAAACGGGTTCAGATATAAGGGTTATAACTCCAGTGGTTATTTCTATATTCAAATTGTGATACCGTGTAAGAATAATCCGAATTGCTGGCTGTTTACGCAATCTAACTAGTTTCAATTTTCTCAAAAGTAGCTCTAATAAAGCGCTCGTTCTGTGGTTTGTACCAAGGAGTGCTGCGGTAGGTGTTTCGGTAGTTATCCAAGGTCGTTTTTTACTAGGGAAGATACAATAAGGGTTAGGCTTCTGCAAAGCTGTTTCTGTCATTCTATTTTTTTTGGGTTCATCCGTGCTTGACGGTACCTAAAGAGTGCAGAAGCAATAACAAGAAGCGGAACGGCGTGCAAACGGTATGATGGTTTTGCAAATGGTGTGAGATATTGGGAGGGTTGCTTAAGTCTAGGGGCTATAGTAAACGGGAAGGCCTGCTTGTCGGTTTTGGCGGAATTGGCAGTCAATTCAGCGGAGATGGACAAACAAGCAGTCGTAATCTGCCGCGTCGTCGTGCGCTGAACCTCGCGCGGCAAATGCTCTGTGTGCATCAGTATGTCGACTGGAGAAGTGAAACTCACGTGAAATCAAACGGAGGCAACTTTCTACGCTGAATGGTTCAGATCTTCTCCGTCACTTAAGCATTCATATCCAAACAGCCAGGCAGGATAACTGGACTCGCAGGGGCGGCGTCGCTCAGCGCGCTCACCAGCGCTGCACATTGCGATTGTCTTGGCACATACTCCAGTTTTCATCCGGTGACTTTACGTTCTTATTTGTGAAGCGTAATGGCGTTGGCCCTCGAATGTTCAGCGTCAACTACTGCGACAATCAAAAAAACCACAAAAAAAAAAAAATTAGACTGTAGCAAGGGCAATGAAATGCTGGGTTTTACCATAGCGCCGTCATCCTTATAGTTCTTACCACATTGGGACGTTTTGGGAAGTTACTTGTGAGCGCAACGACGACTACGCAGTAGCAGACAGTTGTCAATTCAGGCAGAGACTTCAAGAGTGAGGGCGTCATCGTTTTCTTGTGCTGCCTGCGTTCTATTATGCACGTGCTTCCTACATCTCTGCTTGAACCAATGATAGTTCTCCGCCGCCACATTCATAACAAAGTCCATAGAAACTAAATTCGCTGTGACACGGCTTGCTGACAAGATTGGCCGAAAGCGGTTTGGCGACGAGTCCGAATCGTGTCCTCGGCTACCACAAATACTGGTCATTTCCTCGGCTTATGACTATTTCACGGTGACGTTTCGCAGAGCTACGGTGGAACTCTTCTTTTCAAAATTGTGATGGTACAGTTATGAAACATAAGCAAAAACATAAACAAAAACTCTTTCTCCACGTCCTATTACCTCTCTGAAGCGATCGCTTCTAGAAGCGCTCATACTTCGCGTCGGCGTTTTATGCGTCTTGAGCGACTAGGAAACCCTAGGTATTAATTTAGCGCCTGCTGTGCGATCAAGGCGCTGGCGCAAAATGTGAACGCACTCTTCTTTCACATTAAATAAACAAATTAGTTGTATTTATAGTAGTGCAACTTCAAAATTTTTTTCCAAGAGCATTCCGTACCCTTTTTCAGATTCGCGGACCATTTCGATATAATGTTTTCGTAAACCCATGCGATGCTCAGCTACTTCTAGTACGGAGAACATTAGTTTCTGAGACCTCGCCAACAAATCCGACCATGGCGACAAAAGTGGTTAGAAGGAAGAGTTAGTTCACTGATTTTCTTGTCAGCTCATTTTCAGTGAAGGACACCACTGAACGTTCTTTAAATCCTTTTTGGATTCTTCGTTATTTCCGTGGAAACCGAAAATCATTATTTAGTTGGTACTTTTCCTTTGCTGGGTTATTTGTTTGCGAAATCAGGATGTAGTGGTCGAATAATTCTCAGTTTTTTTTAACTTTTCGTTTTTACCATAACATTCAGCCTTCTGTTTTCATCTTCATCTTCATAATAGTTCATTTAGCAGACAGTTTTTCTTGAGATGAGGATTTATGATAGTGGTGGTCTTTTCTAGTGTTTCATATCCCATGACATTTCACATTTTCCCGGGAATTTGTCGCTCATTATTTGATAATGATGAAACACGGCTGCAATCACTCCTCCTTAATAGAGTTCGCAACTAAAAGGTAAGGGTTACAGTATTTCATCAGTAATGATAATTTTTGCGTATTTTCTAACCTGCAGTTGCTAGATCACGACCTTTAAGATCGAGGTCCGCACTAGCGGTCTTTTTTTAGGAATAAAGAAAACGCTGCTTCCTTTCATTCTCTTTTTTTTATGATCAAACCTGCGTATGCGTTTTATCATAGTACCATCAGGGCCTGACTAGTGCCTGTCATTCATTCTGAAATCATCGAAATTATTGATTTTGTTTCTATCTATGATTGCTCGGCATACATCGGAAGAAGTTATAGTGTAGTTCGCTGCGGACGGTGGGGCGTGTCAGGCGATATGAGTTTGGCACAGTGCCAACCCCTTTTCCACAAGCTGTTAAAGCGAGCAAGTGACAGGACTGTCACTTGCTCGCTTTAACAGCTCTCGTGGAAAAGATCAGCTACAACGATCATGTCGTTCGTATCACTCGTTTCCCAACAACTATTGTCCTGCTTGCTACCTGCTTCATCAACTGTCAGAAAAGGGGTTTGGCGTCGTGGCACACTCATACTGCCTGACACGCCCCACCGTCCGCAGCGAACTACACTATGTTTCTCATTCACTCGTATTCCATCTTTTGAGCGGTTAATATGTAGGAATGTATTATGCTTGTGTGGTATCCTTGTGCAGTCAAGTAAGTTGCCAGTGATGTTTAAAGTTTTGGCGCTGTGTGCCACGGAAGAGGTCGTTCCAGAATCTAGTGTGAGCGCCGCGGCAGCTTTCGATTTTCAAGGGGTCGGAGTAGAGGTAGGGAGCTCCAGATGGCAACTGTTTCACCTGCCGTGAGCATTCTCTCTCAATGTTTGTAGGCTAATATAGCGCTGACGCGAAACTGCGAGCTGACACCTTTACGGCACCTAGCGCCAATACTTTTGTTCAAGAAAAAGGAAAACGGGTCATTTACTGAAATCTCATGATTTTCATTTCTTTTTCGACTAGCAGCATCATAATCAACGTTTATCGCCCTCTTACTGTGTGCGAACTGTGAAGCTGTTCAGAGTCTTAAGGTTACAGTAACCTGCAGCATTGATTCTCTATCAAGCTAAGTTCCCCTTTTCACAATGAGCCTAACGGAGATAACCTCGCGTGCGTGGTTTATTCCTTTTTCTCTTGAAAGAGGACGTAGCTAATAGCAATCCCACGAAAGAGGGGAACATAGTTTAATCGAAATACTGCAATTTTATACCACTACTTATCCTTCATCGTGATTTAACTTCACAGCTATTCTAATTATTCGG